GTACTCTCTCCACTCCTTTTTAACATCTACATGAAACCACTGGGTGAGATCATCTGCCACCTTGGGATGAGGTATCATCAATATGCAGATGATACCCAGTTATACATCTCCATCCCAGGTGACTTGAGTGATGCCGTGACCACCCTTTCATTGTGCCTGGAGACTGTGGGGGTCTGGATGGAGTGCAATAGGCTTCAGCTGAACCCTGATAAGAAGGAGTGGCTGTGGATTAGAGGACTCTCTGCATCTGAGGATTTACCATCTTTGGTTTTAGATGGGATTGCACTGCCCCAGACAGACCTGGTGTGTAATCTGGGGGTCCTCCTGGGCTCACAACTCTTGCTTGAGGAGCAGGTGGCAGTCGTGGCCAGGAGGACCTTTGCCCAACTTCAAGTGCTGTGCCAGTTATGGATCAGGAGGCCCTCCAGTCAATCACTGATGCCCTGGTCATCTCCCGTATGGACTATTGCAATGCGCTGTACATGGGGCTACCCTTGAAGAGTATCCAGAAGCTACAGCTGGTTCAAAATGCGGCTGCACAGATATTAGGTCCCCCTAGGATGGCACATATAACACCTTTGCTGCAGGAGCTGCATTGGGTCCCAGTTTGCTTCCAGGTCCAATTCAAGGTTTGGTTATTACCTTTAAAGCCCTACATAGCGTGTGTGCAGGCTATCTGAGTGACTGTGTCACCCTCAATACATCAACCTGCCCCACCCGGTCAGGCAAAGAAGGCATGTTATGGACCCCGTCAGCAAGAGAATGTTGGCTGGTGGGGCCCAGGAGGAGAGCCTTCTCTGTCATTGTCCCCACCCTCTGGAATATTCTCCCCCTAGAGGTGCAGTGGGCCCCTACCCTCTGCCAGCTTGCATGGGGCAAGAAGAGTTTTAACCAACCTTCGGAGTGGCTGGCAACCTGATAACGTTCCTCGAGCCTAATACTCTCTAGTTACCATCAATCCTTGGAATATACTTATTATTTATTTAGGACTATTGTTATATTGTATTTTTAATTAATATTTATCTTTTCTGTAAACTGCCCAGAGTTGCTTTTTAACAAGAGGGGTGGTGACAAATTTGATATATAAATAAATAAGTAAATCTTTTGCTCAGTCTTGATGAAGCTTATTAGTAAATTATTAGAGTCAAATAAAAGGTTTAAATAAAAATGGTTTAGTTAAAAGGTAGAGACAATTACCAGGAAATAATTTCTGTATAATTATTTATCCATTTTGGGAACCATAAAACAGATTTGTGTATGTGTGTGTGTGTATACAATTTATATGTGTGCCTGTGTATGTTGCTGGGTGGTTTTTCAGATTGGATGCTCAGGACAAGTTACAAGAGATTTGCTTTGCCAAGTCTAAGCATAGAACAATCCAGTCCTCAACTGTGCCACCTTGATTCATGCAGCTCCGCCAATATACATAATAGGTTACTTGGCTTAACAATTCTGGTTGTTGATTAGTCCAATTAAGAGTAGAAAAATGAAGTTCTGAGATGAAAAAGAAATTAACAAGAAATAAAAATGAGGCACCAAATCCATAAAAGAAGATCACTTTTATGACGCCTCATTTTCTCTTTTTCATCTTAGAACTTCATATGGTAGGACAGAGACACCTTTGCTTCAGAGCCATTTTCCTTACCTGGACTATTATGTTACCTATCATCACACACTGCTCTTGGAAATTTCAGGTTTCAGAGATGGTGGCTGAATAGGATAAAGAGAACAAACCTGGATTTTTACTCTCAGCTCTGCTGTTTGGGCCAATCTTAGACAGGAGCTATTCTGTGATTTCTCCATTTGGCAGTTCTCAGCAGTTCTCTCAAAGCTGAACCCCTTTCAAAGAGACAACGTGGCAACTGTTTGATGGCAGTAGCAAACATTCAGGTTAGAAAGGGCTAACCATTCATGAGGCAAGCACCTTGGCACAGCTTCAATGGAATGAATCAATGTGAAAGAACAGAACTGGCTGCCTAATGTTCCAGTGACAAACTTTTCTTGCAAAGGGCTTTCCATTTACAACATAACATTTCCAAAGAAGGTACTTTTATGGGACTCTGATTTCCTTTGTTCTAAGAGCAATGTATTAAACAAACACCTCCCTTCATGATGGATATGAGGGAAACAAAATTTGTTACCAATTTTTCATTTTTCTACTAAATATTTTTATTATATATTTTCACCCAACTGTTTCAATATTCTGGTAATGAAAAGGTTCTCAATGGCTTTCCTTATCTGGCATTAGTTTGCCTTTTTCATATTTCTCATACTCATACTCTTTCCTTTATCTTTTGTATTTCATATTCATTTGATTGAAACATCTTTCTTTGATTTGTTTATTTCATACAAAAACTAAACTCACAGGAAAGGCTTAAGAGATTCCTCATCATGAGAAGTTTCTGTAAAAGTTCTTCACTTTCTTAAACAGGAGACATCTGAACCCACACCTCTTCCTCAACCATTTTTGAGGAAGTTTTAAACAATTTGTGAGAGGCACAATTTTCTATCATATATGCATATTAGTTGATCCTGTTGCTATCTCAGTTCAGACAGGTTTATGGCATAAACCAAAATCTGAAAAATCTGTTTATCAGAGGAAAAAAAACATTGAGATAAATGTATACAAGACAAACAGAAATCCAAGCTATATTAAGTACTGTGTAAAAAGCTATTGCCTGCTTCTACCGTTGCATATTTCAGAACATTCCTCCAGTATGTACTCTGGGAATATGAGATTTTTGTTTAATATATAAACTCAATTTCATTTATTCAGCCACCAAGAGTATAATGCAAAAAGTGTGTAGTGTCTCCAAAATCAGAGTGAAAGAACAAATGGTTTAAGAAAGCAGTCCACACATATATGGAAATTGGTTCCAAAACAGAACCGTAATCTGATATAATATGGCAACCTGGTACAGGGGAGACATTCTGATAGGTTATTGTTGATTACAGTAATTACAGTCAACATATTTCTGTTGTAGAGCTGGAAAGAAGTCAGAGTTCCTCTCTGAAGAGTTTGTCCTCTGGTTTAGGGTTTTTTTTCTGAAATAAAACAGAATAAAATGAAGCACATCAAAACCATGGGTTTTCTTAGTGGGGAAAAAAATAAGATCTTGACAGAGGAGTTAGTGATGCTTAATCCCTTCCTCCTCCAATTTATTATTCAATATTAGCTCAGTGTCACTTGCACTTGATATTTGAAATCAGAAAAATTTCATCCTGAAAGGCAAGCCATCTTACCATAAAAATGAATTCCTGATAGCTTCCTGTAGCTTAATGGCAAAACAGATCTTTTGTATTTATAAAGTCCCAGATTCAGTCCCTACCATCTCCAGGTAGGACTGGAAAAGACTCATCTCTAATCCTTGGAGAACTTTATGCAGAGTCCTTAATTAGCTGGACCAGTGGTCTCCCTCAGTAACAAAGCAGCTTCCTCATTCCTTGGGTAATACGTAAATGGGATACTGAAGCTCAATTCTAGTATTTTAAGAAGTGGATTTTAATTCTCCTTATGAAATGAACATAGGCCTTTCATGTGAACTTTCTCCTCTTCAGGATTCAAAGATATATTACTAAAATTAAAATTAAGTTTAAATCCTTTTAATGTTAAATGGACAAATGCTGGACATATGCATGTGCCCTGCTGGTACTTAACCATGGCTCAGTTATTCCTTGATAAAAGCAATTTCTCCCATTGTCCTCATGATGTTGCTCTCATTTCATTCCCAGCCTTTGATTGAGCCCATATTAAGTTGACTTTAAGTGTTCTGGTATTAAAGTAGTTTCCCCACTTTACCAGCAACAGATGGCAGGTGTGTAAAATCTGGTAAGTTTTGCCACCCATTCAAGGAGAAGTGTATTCAATGACCAGAAGTGGGTATGAGCTTCTTCAGCTGCAATTCTGCTTTTTAAGGTGGTAGATATACTGACATCTGCAATCTCCAAAAAAAAAAAAAAACCTCTACAAAGAATCATTGGCAAAAATAGTAATAGATGAAGCAGCCTAGAGGAGATGGAACCTTGAAGTCAGACCCTCCCCATTCCTTCTGATTGGTGGGTGTTTTCCTTGCTGGCTGGTGACACATGAAGAGGAGGGGGAACAGAGCCAGAGGATTAAACCAATTACTTTGCATATCAAAAATGTTACCCAAAAAATTAGGATAACATCATTGGCAATGGTGGCAGACAACTAGAGATGGGACAGAGCCTGGCAATAGGGACTGCAGATTGCATACCAATATTACTTTCTGACAATTTAAAAATTGGTGGAGAGCACTTTTATTCAATAGTTGAGAAAGGTCCTAAGATGCTTAATTAGCAGATTGCTGCCATTTTGGGCTAACAGTCTTAGCCTAACAATTTGTACAATGACAGCTCTCCTGTGACATATGGCATCTGATGTACTGAAGTACTGGTGCTCATGAATCAACTGCCATGGCTGCAAAAACAGGTTTGAAAAGAGTGTGCTAGTTACTGCTCAAAGCCTAAGTATTTCACAAAAGTTTTAAGCCTAAGATCTTTTCCTTAAAGCAGATGTGCTCCTCAGTGTTCCTGCTGTTTACAGTAGAGCTATTGTAATACAGCAGATGTGCAATAGATGTATGTAGAATTCCTTGGTGGCAGACAGTGGTAGGCCAGACAACCTGGTAATTTGGGGGAACAGAGGGCATCAGGGCTTTTGACAATATTTATATGCAATTTCTGATTATTTATAATGCAATAATGGATCTTCTTTAACAACGTCAGTAGGGCTTATAATTAATTCTTAAGATTGCCTCTGTCAAAGAAGTGAGCCAATTTTGCCTATTAACTCCCAAACCTCCCCCTTGGTCTGAAGTATCTGTAAACACAAATTTTACCACAGTTCCCTAATTTTCCATGAGTCTAAAGCTTCCTTTCTCCAATCCCTGGAAACACCTAAATAAACATAAAACTACAGAACCCAGAATTTCCAGAGGTTGCAAAAACAAATTGTGCAATCAAAGGAGAAAACATGAGATGCTGAATATAATCTTTCACACTTGTCCAATTTGCATTATATATTCTGATCCTAGAATTTCAGGTTTAAGGATTAATAACTAATAGAAAACTCTAAATCTTATGGGGCTGCACAGCTTTTCAAAAGGAGAAAACCGTTATTTGTTTGGTAAGACATTAGCTAAATGAGAGAGCATTTTCACATAAGCATTTTTTGGAAGATGAGGAACTTGCTTCTAATCTCTGCAGTATGAATTGAAGTTTTGGACTACTTTTCAGGAAAAACATAGATCAACAATCAGAGAGGATTGTTGTTACAATCAACAAGAGCAGAACATCAAAATGATTTCTTCTGTATGATAAATAAATTACACTACTTTTGCAATCAATGTACACTTAAAAGAAAAAAGAAAAATATCAGTCCTTCTAGGAAGGTAGGGAAATTGATGAGTGGGATCTCAGCAGTGGAGAGATAGAATACTTAACACTTCAAAAAAAGGTGCATAAGATATACTACTTAGGCCGGTAGAAATCCAATACATTTAGAGAGCACTAGGTTGGAGAAAGTTGATTAGGGATAGGAAGAAATGTTTTGAAACCCTACAGTTTTCTCAGACATAAAGCTGGAGATGATACTGACAGGGAGAGAAAAGCTAGCACCAAATTTCCAGGACAATGTTAAGGGAACAGCAAACTGTTGGCCAGTCAAGGAATCATGTATGCAGAAGGTCATCCTGTACACTCACTCCTTCCTTTCTCTCCAAGAAAGCATTACAAAAATCCTTTATTCTGTCTAGAGAGACTTCATCCAGAGGCAGCACATCCTGCTCCTCGTCTGCAGTGTAGTAGGCAGCCAGTGCAGGCAACTGGGACTTCGTTAAGTGAAAATAAGACAGGACCCGATCATTATCCTTGACACTGATGTCCACCAGGATAAAAAGAACCTACAAAGAAAGAAGAACAAAAACATAATTTAAAAAAAATGGTTCATGGAGCAAATAAATATGACAACACATTTTTATAATGATGAGGGATCAAAGGATGATAATATTTGGCCAGAGTTGTCTTCTAAACCCAGCCTCTAAGGCTTCTAAATTTGTTCAAAGAAGTGTTAACTTGTTACAAGTTTATTCATTAATTTTATTTCTAATTAATCATATAAAGTATCGTGGACTAAATTCCACAATTGAAAAAAGCCAGATTTCGCCATGGAAAAAAAATTTTGGATCAATAATATTATCCTATCAATATTCCCTGTTTTAATAAGCTTTACATTCCTGTATGCATCAAAATATATATTGTTGCTACTTTATGCAGTCTAACCCAGAAATGTATATGGGCTCACATTTGGTGAATTGTACTATGCTGTTCAGCAAAAGATTTTCCAAATTCTGTAAAGTCACAATCATATGCATACTCACTTGGAGCACTATCTCCAGTTCATGATTCAACTGGCCAACTTTTACTGCTCTTGTTGTCAAATCCTGTTCTGCTACAAAGACCAGACTGGCAAATGGCATAGCCTGCAGATATTTAATGCTGGACAAGTTAGGGAAAGAGTTTGGTAGATTTCCTTGGCTTTGTTACCCACCAGCAGGAAAACCAACCATCAAGGGTTCTCCTTACCATGTAGTAGGAGAGGGACAGCTGAGTGTTAATGAATGCTATGAACAGCAGGTTTAGCCCAGTATCAAGTTGCCCAGCTAATAGTTTGCAGGTGCACCATGCCTATGACCTCTTAGTTGGCTATTTCTGAATACAGTGTCTATCGAGTATTGAACCCAAGATCAGAAATAGACCAAATGACAGATCACAGTTGTGGAGAAAGGGTTGCAAGTGACTTGTCATTGGGCTTACAGATGTGGAGGAAGGGTACAGGATAAAGCTGGAGGCAGTGATCAATAATGAGCAAACATTGTCCTTGATTAGTGCTGCAAGGGAATGATGGCGCTGGCAGCATCCAGAAATAGCCATTGGAATAGGCAAAATGGTGCTACCCCTAAAGTAAAAAACATTAGGAAGCACACCCACATGAATCTCTTTGTTGACAGAAGCAGCAGAAAACCTGTTGTGTACTTGTTGATCACAGAAGCAGCAAAGCATGCAGAACTCAGCTGTTTCCTGGCTTAAACTACCTTTTTGTGCAACACAGGTCTTTTATTCTCCCCATTCACCCTGGTATTTAAATACAGCTTTACTGTTTCCTTACATGAAAATTATGTAAGAACTGACAAGCATTTTGGACTCTGGCAATATACAGGCAAGGTGTCTGGTTTCTTCTACATCCCAAGCCAAACTGACCAAGGAAGGCAGTGCCAATAACCAGAGAGTGGGAACATGCCCGGCCCCTGGCCATGATATCAGTCACATTGTCAGTGAAACATCCTAAGTTGTGTCCACAGTAAAAAAATGTGTCTGGGGAAGTGGAGAACTTTAAATCTGGAACAGCTAAGGAAGTCTTAAGCTACCTCATCTGTGGACTAGGGATGAGTGGAAGGCAACATCATGAGGACATGCTGTATAGAAACAGTTACCAGGACATGTCCATGTTGTGGTTGGAGGAATGTGAGTATGAGCCTTCGGACAATAATCCCATTGAATTCAACAGGGTATATTTCTGAGTGGATATGTTTGGATTGTTCTGGAATAAAAGGACTTCATTCCATTTCCATACCGACAGTACCAGGTAAACTTGATTATTAAAAGAAAATACCCTTTGATAATTTGCTGTAAACAATGACACATATTAGCTGCACATTTAATTTAGCTTATTCTTTTTAGAATTCCATAGGTGCAGTATTAGCAATAAAAGGAGGATAGGAGGAATTTACCCCTAACTACAAAGTAATAGAGAGATGTAAAGGAATGGGATTCAAGGTCATCGGAAGGACAGAGTCTGGGCACCAAGAACTGGAATGCCCACATCTAAGTCTTTCTCCTGCCTTAGGTTCTAAAGCCACGTTTTTCTACCTACCATTCATTGGTGTATTTCTTTCACATATTTCTGCTTTATTTCTTTTTCCTCTGTCTAAAGTTTCCCACTGAACATGAAATATGCAGACGAACAACCTTGAATATTTTTTCTGGCTGCAAACTAAGGCAGTTGCTTATCTAATTTATGATAAGGAAAGAGCACAGTCTAGCTAAAGGAGATTTCTCAGTGCACTGGTCAATCCAAGCATGTTTTCCAATTATCTATCCAGCAGAACTGAAAGTGAGGACAGAGTTTGGCAGGTAGAACATTCTGTTCTGAATATGGTTCAATAATATACTTTCCCAGTTTTTAGAAAGAGAAAGTTAGATCTGCTCCTATATAGACTTGAAGCAGGTTTTGATCCCAAATGGCTTATCACCTTTTCACATGAAGACTTGTTAGAAATGGCTTGGAACTAAAAAGATGGAGTAAAAGAATCTGTATCATATCACCTACAGTTTTCCAAGGTCCATAGTATTTAGGAAAGTAATTTAAACAGAAATAACAAAAAAAATACATCATTATAAATCCTGAAATTCTGACTCAGTGACCTCAGTGCCCTGTTCATTTGGCAAGTTTCATGGACAAGAATCCCATCACTTGGAAGAAATTCTAAAGGCATATAGAATCTTCAAAGGCACTGGAAAAAGGCAGGTGGAGCACTAGTTCCGCTGACTTCTCCAAGTTTTTTTCTGCTATTAAATGGTGCCTCAGATACCGTATAATAGAAAACCTGAAGAAATAGAAACATAGAAAAGTATATCCTGAATGTGCTATGAGATATGCAATATTTATATTGCTTCAGGTGACTATCAGTATTAAACAAAAATGACTCACTTAGCTTCTCTTTTTGCTAACAAAAATAATTGTTATTATTGTAGCATGGATCCAGTAATTGGGTGGTGGAATAGAATAGATGATGAGCCATCTTTATTCCATCAGCCTTCCTCTATGGAATGTATGTGGGTGAAACATATGTTGCAAGTCTGAGTTTAGAAAAATGTGGTTTCTGTTTGTTAACATCGAGTTTTAGGTCACTTTCCTATCCCATGATAAGTTTATGGAGAATCAGCAAGTTCTGCTTCATCCTAACTAAGAGATCTGTATACATAACCTGAAAATACGATTTAATAATATGAAATGAAGGCAACAGAAAGAAAAGTTCAAAAGATTAAAAAATCTTAAGTGATTTTTCTAATCACAAAAGTGCACTTAAAATTGGGCCCTTCCACCTCCATGCATTTGTTATGTGTGGTTTTAAAGTTTTCTGGGTCATTCTTAATTTGAGGGGAGGGGGAAGCAGTGGGGTTTCACAGGGTATCACCCACTCACATTTAACCCTCCTGTTATTGCTGCTTTCCCCCTTTGTATTTTAATATATGAAACATGATGTAAGCAGAAGTACTCCTTCCAAAAATATTTTATGGTATTGACTAGAAACATGTCAGACTTACTTTGCCTTGAAAGGCTACTGCTGCTTCACGGTACTTGTTAATCCTCTCAGTGTGCAGCGGAGAAGTTTTGTCACTGAACAGTAGAAGATGGGTCTGAACAGCACTATTAAAGAGGCCTACTGCAGTCTGTCAGCATAACAGAACAGATGAAGTCATATGTTGATTAGACAATGTAAGCATTAAATCCTTACATGTTCAAAATAAGATAGAAGCCCTCAGAATCATTAGATAAATTTATAGTCAAGCATTGGAAGAGAATGCAATGAGTTAAAGGGCTAAAAAAAACAACAAACACAGATGATGTTCAATATCAGAGATAAGCATTGTGGAAGTCACAAACACCTGCTTTGGTATTTACAAAGTTGCTATTTTAATTTTAATTTTACTTTTTCCTGTCCTGTCACATTTTTTTTAATGGGAAGCTAGTATGCTCTAGCTGGACCTGAAACTATAAATAGAAAATAAAAATGATGGGTGGCTGCAGATAAGGGCTTAGTTTGGAATTGTGTCCCCCTGCCCAGAAAAAAGACATAGCTACATCTATTATAACAGCACCAAAAACATTCCAAGCATGTCTACTAACCTTTGAAAAACACAGTGGGTTGAAATATGCTTAGACTCAAAATTGGTTACTATTCTGAAGTTTGTCTGACATTAGATCTGTTTCATTTTGTTAAATCTCTTAATTTCTTTTTAAGTCATTTGCTATTTGCAATGCTGACATAAACAATATTTCACAATGATGTATTTAGAGCTATTGAACCTAGATATAGGCCTGGTTTCAAGGAAACCAAGAGTACTTTTCACATTTCCACATATATAACAACAAACATATGGAGAGGAGGAAAGTATGACCAGTGTTGGTACATCTTCCACTGTGTGATCTATATCCCTAGCAAACATGACATTGGTACAAGGACATTAGAGAAGGTATGTCAAGGGCTAAATCACCTTTTCCAACCTAGGGCTTCCTACAATCCACACCAGAGGTGGCAAATTTTCTTTAACATTCATTTTAATGTTAGTTTTTATATTTGCCATAGTTGTTGCTGTTGTACCTTTAAATATGCATTTGGAGATTTCCATCCCACTCTTACTTGACTTTACAATTCAGTGGAAGGAAGTCCCACTCAGTTCAATGACACATTTTTTTCAGTTGCAGTCTTCATGGTTTCTTATTGATTTAAATGTTTAAGTACCTTAACATTTCAATTGATTTAAATGTTTAAGTACCTTAACATTTCATGTTCCAGTAATTTTTAATAAATGGATTGCTTGCTTTCATCATGAATTTAATTAAATTTGCTATATGGCATAGTGTGCTTTTCTGAGTCAGAACAGAGCGAAGGAGAACCTTCTGAAAGTACTGATGCTGAAATGACCACATGTGTATTCTCCCTAATACTACAATCGTAATTTATAAAAACATAGCAGAAATCTGGAAAACATCATCTGGAACTGTGTTTGGAAGCCATGAGGTTGAGCAGCTTGGAGGAGAACCCTAAAAGAAGGCATCTATCTCCTGGGGGTGGGATGATGGAGCAGCACACACTAAGCCTCTGTAAGCAGCCTCCAGTCATCTGGCACTGCCAGTGGTCTTTTTGCATGGTCTCCAGGTGGTAGATAATTTGTCATCTGACTTTTCCTTTCCCCTTTCTCCTCCTAATATTTCCTGAATTGCAGCTGCTGCTCCCACAAGCCAAACAGAGGATTGGAGAGCCTGCAGCTGACCTGCTGCTCCTCCGTGTGCCTCACACAACCGCAGGGAGAGAAAGAGAAAGACCTCTGTGTCAGGCCCTGCCAGCTTTTCCTTAAAAAACAGGAATATGTGAGAGGATTCCAGAATTAACAAGAAAAGGTCAGTGAGTGCACTTCTTGAAGAACCTCCCAGCTCAGAGCACTGGGACTCTACATTGTGGGAGGCCCAGAATATTGTGGCCTTCAGTTTCAAAGCTTTCAGTTTGAAAGGCAGCAAGACTGGGCGGCATGGAGGAAACTCAAGAAAAGTTTAGCAGACCAAGTCAGACATGTGTGATGCTCTGCCTATTAAGCCACAATATGGGCAGAAAAGAAATCTCAGCAAGGGGTATATTCCTCACACTGAAATGCAATTATCTACTATAAACCTTAAATTATAGCAGCACAACTTTTTCCAGACCAAGGACTACAATTTGCCTTTAAATGGCATTGCTTGCAGATCATATTCCAAAAAGAAGAGAATAGGGCAAGGACTAAATAAAAATATAATTTACTTTTACATTTAATTGCAATTAAATATATTTAATAGGATTATTTCTCATTTTAACACATTTAAAATTACAATTCACTAATGTGGATGTCTCTGGAAGCCACGTACAAGGCTTGGTAGAGTCACACCTAGCTCTGGGGTCTCAGGCTATGTCCTTCCGCCTCACATGCCATGCACCGAGCACATGCTACTGCGAATCACTTTGGGCAAAGGTGGATAAGAGATAAACTGACAGTAAAACTCTGCTTCTATTGTATCAGTTCTTGTGCCTAGAAGGATATGAGTAATTTAAACCTATATAAATCATTATAAACTCAGCAGTCAAATATACTAGTTAGGTTTTAGAAAATTCCTTTGTTACCATGGGGTTGTATTCAGTCACCCAACGGAGTTCATTCATCCGGACAAAACGACTCAACTTTGCAATATCGATTTTGTTACTGTCTTCAATTTCCAAATCTTGCCTTTTGTTATCCACCTGAAGTAAAGCAAATAATCTTACTATCACCACTGTACTTCAGCCACTGTTCTTTAAACTATTTGCAGAAAACATTGCAAGTGCAACAAGAAAGGATAGCCAATATAATCCTTCAAGTCCAAAACATTATTTGCATCAAACCACCTCCCCACTTCTGAGCATATGATTTCTAGATAGATTTTTAGACATCTGCTCTCTCCAAACAAATTTCTCATCCATTCATTTCCCATCCCACATACATATATACTATGCTTTTGCTCGAGATTTTCATAATACTGACTGTCCTAGAAAACTAAGGCAATACTGTTTCTGCTGTTTAGTTTAGCTAGAGAAATAGCTATCACAAATTTTGGAATTATTAGCAGTTGGATTAAACTATCCTGGATTCTAAAAAAAGATGAATTATCTTAGCATTTGTGGGACTTCTGGAATGAGATCTTTAAAAAACTCTCTGCTTTTTGCAAACATTCATCTGCTAATTTCATTAGTTCTAGACCTAATAAACACTGGCATAAGCATGTATGGATTTCCTGGAAACATTGTGCAAGCAAGAATCCTCTCCAATAAATACAGGCATTTTTCCAGAAGATCAAGGAAAAATATTCAGACTCCAAAAACTCCACTTTTGGGAACAGATCTCCCACTGACATCTTCCTGGATCTTACTGACAGTCCTCTAACAGACAGGCAAACAACAAAAATTCAACAGCAAACCCCAGAGGATCAACTGGGTGCTCAGTTAAATTACCTTATTGATGCATGGCTAAATAGAATATAACTGAACCTTTGTACGAAAGAGACAGAGAGAGATCCTGGCAAGGCACACCTATATATTCTATTATATCCACCAAGTAAATGTGTTCTTTTCTCCAGAGATAACCTGCCCCAGTCTTTTTTCTGTAGAAGGTCCCTTGTCTTTATTACTATATACCTTCAAACCTCAAAGCAGCAGTTAATGTCAACTCTTCTTTCACTGGTTTGGGAACAAACCAAAAGTAACTCCATGGAAAATAAGGAGTGTTAAACTGGTACAAAACGTGTGTGAGCCAGAACACATATACCCTTGAGATACTTCCAGAGACCACCAGAGTCAGTGGAAAAAACCTTTACTGGGGGTTGGAACGGACTACAGACTTCTGCAAAAACAGATCGACCCTATTCCAATGCTTTACATATTTTGCTATTGCATAAAGACTCTCCTGTGTCAGAAAGGCAACATATATGTTCAGACAGACCTTCTTAAGGAAATTATTTGGGGAGGGTAGGCAATTTATCCATTGCCATTGGATTAGGTCTGGAGTAGTGTGGTTAGTTTCTGAATGCAAAACTCTGGTTCTTCCAAAGCCTCTTAATATATCCAGAAGGCCAGCCTCGGTAAACAAAAGCTTACTTGCTCTTTTCACAAGATCAAACACAGATCCAGTGATAGTGGGAAACTATCAGCTTTTGGGGGGATGCAGAGCCTTTTTTATTTTTAATGAACTATAGACAGTGTGTTAAACATGTGCATTTTTTCAGAGCTTTACATATTTTTAAAAAACTAAGGTAGAGAATTCCTCATCCTCTATAACAGTGTTTCTCAACCTCAGCAACTTTAAGAAGTGTGGACAGACATCTTAAAGTTGCTAAGGTTGAGAAATGCTGCTCTACAATATCACAGCAAATGTGGCAACTACATAAAGGGGAAATCCATTCTATGGACAACAAAACTGCATAAGAAAGAAAGGTTCATGGGCAATCAGGCCATAGGCAAGGAAAGGTAAATCTGTAAGCTTCATAGTTTAGGAAAGCTTTACTGCAGGCAAAACTTTAATTACATTTACTCAGATTCAGATTAGGTTCAAGGGGTGTTGCCAAGGCAAAGTAGAAGATGATGTCCTCTCCTTCATGTTAACCCCACTGGTGGTAGGACAACATTCTTCACTTTACTTAAGAGCAGCAGCCTAATTTGGGAGGAATAAGACAAATCATGTGGAATGTATGCTTTGCTGCTCTTTCTGCTACCCTCTGAATTTGTCATTTATCACAACCACCTTGTTCAACATAAGATATAGGATGCCAGCCCCCCTCAGAATGGAGATTTTTTCTTTCATTAAGCATGATCTGTATAACAATATTTGAAAATATTTGTTGTATTCCATCACAGTGCATGAAGCTCGTCTCATAAAACAATCAGGCTTCAAATCAGGACCAAGGCTAGGAAGGGTATTTATTGGAGGGAGCTACATAGAGCAGTGAGTGCCATTTCTTTCATTTCTGGTTTCAGGCTATAAATCTATACTTCTTTATGGAAGAATATTCCTCAGTAAACACAGTGGGATTTATTTCTGTGTAAATATGCATAAGCTTGTACTATAAACCAATTCAGAACTTTCCTAGTCTTTCAGATGCTGATCCTAATAATTGTTTGGATCTAATTATTCATATTCTTCTGCATTGAGAATGCTGGAATAATTATGTTGGGTTTGGTTTATTGTGGTGATTTGATTTGCATTTCTGTGGATTCAAATTTTTGTGGACAATTATGTATTCCAAGTTCCTACTTCATTTTCCTGTTGTCTTTTAATTTCCTCTCAATGTATTTCAAGGAAGAAAGCTCTCTATATAAATTGAATTTTATAATAACTAGTAATACATATTTCTGTGTTAATGCACTGTCAATGTTGTATATTGTGTGTGTGTGTGTGTATACTGTAGTATATTTTAATTCATTAATATTTATCTATTTTAATTAATGTTTATTCTGTTTTTGCTGTAAACTGCCCAGACTCACTCTGTAGTGAGATGGGTGGTGACAGATTTGAAATATAAATAAATAAATAAAATAAACGTTAATTAATCTCAGTTGCATCCACTAGTTTGTCAAATATAAATAACCAGTTCAGGAAGGAGGGGATCGATGATATGTATTCAGGGTAATCTGAAATAGTTATGTTTAATTCCACTAATGTCATAAAGCTGTGGTGTGTTTTAGAAGAGAAAAAAACACAACCAAGTGGAAATATTAGCACACCTGTTAAACTTATGTATACAAGGCTAAAAATGGTGAGTCATCCCAACACACTCCAAGTTATAATTCTTCATATATATTGGAAGTGGGGAGTTGGGGGACTGAGACTATCCCATTCTAAATAGCTTAACAGCTGCCACTAAACGTTACAAGTATTTCCCCCTTTTTAAAATAACAGCCAGACTATAACCAAAAGGTCCTATCTAGCTATGAATACTAAGCCTTGTTCTTTTGTATGCTTAGAGGAGATTCAGGCTCTTCAAAGTTTTTAAACTTCATCTACTGTTCCAAATATGTGCTAAGGAGGAATTAATGAAGCTTCTGACCAGATCACGCCCCCATGTCATCTTTCCTGTGCTTTTAACAGCTCCCAGGCAGAAAGTCAGCATGGGAAACTTTTCCTGATGTGCAGCTGTAGGGATAGAAAAGATTTAATCTGTATAGTTTCTGTTCCAAATAAAGTCAGGAACTGTGACCAAAAAAAAAACAACAGTGGGCAACCCTACTGGAGTTTAAATAATAATGATAGTACCCCAAAAAATTTCAGGAATTAAACAGAAAGCCACCAAATGTATTTAATAATGTACCCAGTCATCCCCAGTCTGTGCTTTCTAGACATGATGATGATGGTATCCATTCAATCGTGTCCGATTCTCAGCAATTCTATAACCATTCTCTCCACGTTTTCCAATCTTGTATGGTTTTTTTCAGATGTTTTATGCTCTGATTGGTGTCAACTTTAATGGTATCTAGCCATCGTGTTTTTGAGCGGCCTCATTTCCTTTTACCACTGACCATTCCAAGTATCACTGCCTTTTCCAGTGAGTTTGATCACATTACATGGGCGAAATAAGGCAAAATTTTGTGATTTTGCTTTCCAGTGATATGTCTGGTTTTATATGCTCCAGAACTTACTTGTTTGTCATCTTTGCCGTCCAAGGAATGTGCAGGAGCCTTCTTTAACACCACAGCTCAAATGAGTAGATTTTCCTCTTGTCTAGTTTTCTCATGGTTCAACTTTCGCAACCATAGGTAGCTATGGGAAACATAACAGTGCAGACTAATCTGTATTTAGTTGCCAGGCTGATGTCCTTGCTTTTCCATATTCAATTCATGCTCATCATTGCTGTGCGACCTAGTGTGAATCACTGCTTTGATCAATCTATGATCCTAGAAAAGTGAATTCTTGCATGCGTTCAATCTCTTCACCGTCAACTGTTATTTTGACATTTCCATTCCTCGCAGTGGTCATGAGCTTGGTCTTTTTGATGTTCAAGAAGTGGCCAAATTTCTCACTTTCTTCTTTAATCCTTTTGATCAGATGTTTCTTTGGCTCCTGAGAGGAGAGTTGTGTCATCAGCAAATCAAAGATTGTTAATGTTCCTTCCTCCAATCTTTATTCCAATTGTTGATTTTTCAAGTTCCAGCTTCCTCATGTTCACTTTGGCGTACAGGTTGAATAAGAAAGGTGAAAAAATGCAACCTTTCCTCACTCGTTTCTCTATCTTGAACCAATCAGCGTCTCCATATGGTGTTCACACAGTGGCTTACTGATTTGTGTACAGCGACTGCACCAACTTGACCAGATGTGTTGGCACCCTGAGGTCTTCTAGGGCTTTCCACAGCTTGTCATGATCAATACAATCAAAGGCTTTCTTGTAGTCAATAAAGCAGATGTAGATGTTCTTTTGATATTGAGATTTTTCCATGATCCAGCATAGATTTGCAATATGGTCACAAGTGCCATGACCCCTTTTGAAGCCAGCTTGAACATCTGGTAATTCCCTTTTGATGGTCAGTGCCAGACGTTGTTGTATGATCTTAAGGAGAATCTTGCTAGCATGAGGGATGAGGGCAATTTTGCAGTAATTGGAGCAGTCCTTGGAGACACCCCTTTTTGGCAATGGAATGAACACTGTTTCCAATCCTGTAGCCATATGTTCGTTTCCGAAACTTTCTGCCACAAGGCTATGATAGTTGTGGGTGGTACA